GGAGAGGATGATGATGAATGTTACCTTTCCCAGTAGGCTCAGGCAAAAGCAAACTGCTTTGCAGTCTCTCCAAGCTTGTCTGCTCTTCCTCATTAATTACCATTTTGACCACACTCTGGGGTTGCTTGGTTAACATGCCCTTGTCTTTGTAAAATGTTAGAGGCTGTCCTAGATGCTCTGGATACACCAGATCCTATCTGATCTTGGAAGCTAAACAGGGTCAGCCCTAGCTAGTACTTGGATGGGAGACCACCAACAAATACCAGGTGCTGTAGACTATATTTCAGAGGAAGGACCTGGCAAAACTACCTCTTAAGTATTCCTTTCCTATTCATCAGGTCACCATAAGTTGACAGGAACATGAAAGCCCACACAAACACATATTTATATGTATGTGTGTGCAGCTGTCCAGTGTGGTACACTAAAGGACTGTAGTTTAGAGATTCTACCCAGGCAATGGAACTAGCTTCAGCCACTCATTCTGAGCATTGAATCCTCTTGGACAAGAAAGGCTATAAAACAGCTTCCTGGTTCAACTAAGTCTTGTCTATGCAACTGACCAGAACTGTATTGTGTTTCTTTATCATTCCTCCTTTTATCTTGACTTTTGTTTTGCTTTACATTCCTATGTCCTAGTTTGCCATTTAGTTCTGACTTATCTGTTGATCCTTATCACTGTTGTTACCTGCAGCTCTGAACCCTTGGTAAACCTTTTGGCTCTTAGATTATCCCAGAGAAATATCTGTTCATTATTGTTTACCATTCTGTATTAAACTTTGCTTAAGCCTACTTAAGCCAGTGTGGTGTAGTGGTTTGAGTGCTGGACTAGGACTTTAGAGTCCAGGCTTTGAATCCTGGCTCAGACATGGAAACTCACTGAGTGACCTTGGGCAAGACACACTCTCTCAGGCTCAGAGGATGACAATGGCAAATGCTCTCTGAAGAAACTTGCCAAGAAAATGCCTTAGAGTCAGAAAAAGTACTTGAAGGCACATAACACAAGCCTACTTTATGTGATGCAAGTAGATTCTTTACTATCATTGTACCATATATATTTTATGGAACTCAGTAATCTGAAAGTGTTCTAAAAACTTATTATTTTTTGCAAAAATATGTAACAATTTACAGATAAGCACAATAGTACCCTGTTGTTGTTTTTCTTTGACAATAACAGAATTCCCATTCAAACGTTTCCTGTCCAGTCAGTCAGATCCCAAATAAAAGATTGGAAAATAAATGGCAGATACATTTTCTGAAATACAATCAAAGCATGAAATATTAAATGCCTGGTGAGAGTTTTTTGACATTCCATACTTCAGTGTCTCAGATAAGAGCATTCTGACACCTCCAGGAAAGAAATGGTGACAAGTGACACTGAGTTACTATGTTTCAAGAAACTCATGAAATCTATTTTGTTTCATCCATTTATTGAAAAATATACTTAAAATTCATTTTTTATTCTTTATGTTCTAAAAGAGAAAGACTGTACCAGTGTTGGTATCCTTCATCCACTCACTTCTCAGACCATCTCTGGCTCGAGGGTCTACAAAAATGAAACATAGGGCCTTTCCAGACTGCCAGAAATAGTGCAAATGGAGTCCACTTTAAGGGTTAGGGTTAGTGCTAGGGAATCATGGGAATTGTTTTTTTTTTTCCTGAGACATTGAGCTTTCTCTGTCAGAGAGCTCTGGTGCCACAATAAAATACAGTTCCCATGATTCCCTAACCTTAACCCTTAAAGTGGACTCAATTTGAACTATTTCTAGCAGTCTGCAAAGGCCTATAGTCACAGGTACACCAAAACAACAGTTTGATTACGTGGAGATATTAGTGGGATTCAGCAATAAAACCCAAGGAAAAGGAAAAGTTAGCTCATGCCCCTTAGATGACTGAAGCAGTCCTTCATCAATGTCACTGTCCACAGAGGTCCCAATAGGGGCATTGCTCATAATGCCCATGTGCACCCTCTCAAAAAGTGACCAATCATTTTATCTTTTTAAAACTTTAAATAACCTTTCCTCATTGTTCTGTAAGGTGCAGACACTTTCCCAGGCAAAGCAGGGTAGGGGACAGATTGCCCTATCCTAACTAAGCAATAGTTTTCTATTCTGTAATGGAAACATTACTATCTATCCCTTCAATATCTGCTGTTCTTGCTCAACCGACTAGATGAGCTACAACTACTGAAAGCTGCATTACTATCATGATCATCATACTCATCATACTCATTATTATGATCATCACTAAAGGTTTTCTTGATTAGCTAGCAAATACCCAGTTACAGTGTTATATCTGTCTTAAATTAGATAGAGGGTGAATGTGAGAGTTAACTATCATTCCTCGCCAATTATTCCAGAAATTCCATACCCTTATATTTCATTCCATGACATTGTAGCATGAAAAAAATGACTGCTTCATTTTTTTAACGCATAAAACATATAGAACATATTTAGTAAAATGGCCAGTTTTTTCAAAGGTATTTTATGAGAAGACAATATGAATACAACCCCTCATTTTCTTGTGGTTTTCATAACTTGGATGTTATTTGGTGATGAAACCAAAGGCAAGTGTCAGGTTCAACAGCTCCTTCCTCTGGTCCCCTCATCATAAATTGAAGGAAATATGTTAAAGCTCCAAATATTGTTTTGATTTGAATAAGATGTCTATGAATTGCTTGCTACCTACACTACCTTGAAAGAATAAACACTAAAACATGGAAAAAGCAATAGAGAAGTCACAGGTAAAATATAAGGAGATGGGGCAGAGAGATTAGAAATACCTTGCATCTTTAATGGCTGCATAGCTGGGAAATTGCTATTTCATTTCTGAGATTCCCCCATCTAGCATCTCTGAGCAAAATAAATAATGTTGATTACATTCCTACTGATAGAGTGACCTTTTCTGTAATGGTAAAGTGAAGAATAAAAAAAAACCCAAAGAACGAAAATATATTTACAACTCATTCCCAATAATAACTTATGTGGAGTGGATCAACTTCTGTGAAATATTTTCCAAGTAAAACATTGAAGCACCAAAGAAAATCTTATCAACTATTAAGTCCCTGTCTGTCTCCAATGAAGATTTGGTCTGCAGTTTCACATACTTTGTAAAAAGGTTTGAATTTCCTGTTTGCCTTAGGGGGTAGGATTGTTCAAAGATAGTCAGAAACCACATTATGTAGCCTTGGAAATGTTTCTGGTTTGATTGCTGACTGACAAGTGAAGTCTCTTTGGTTCTCTGCTGTCTTCCAGAAAAGTGCTTGCTATTTTGTGAACTTTCTAAGTGTTGTCTAATAACATGATGGCTTATGATCATTAGAATTTCTTGACATATCATTATCAGACTGAGTGAAAGATTTATCTTTTTAGCCATTGATTGGAGGTCAGAATTGTTCTAGAATTATAAGGCTTACCTGGTTTACTACACAATGAGTATGGTACTAATATTCTTTTGTTGACATACTTATTAGCAATGGGCAATACTCCAAATATTTTGGCTGTTGTATCAGATGGAACCCACATCTTCCTCTCATATGGAAAATAACAAGAAAAAATCATTTTTGCCTGGCAATTTAAAACTATTTATGTACATCTCACTTAGATCTAAATCTAGATAGTGGTAAATATAACATTAGATATAAATGCCTTCTCTTAATACTACTGTATGTATAATAATAATAATAATAATAATAATAATAATAATAATAATAAATAAGTTTTTATTTGTAACCCACTGATGTCTAAGCCATTTTACATAGTGCCATAGAGGAGGCAAGATATGCAACTAATCACTACATAAATTGAACAATAGATTCAGAATATGAAAAAAGTTCTTGACATATACAGGGTATCAATAAAACTTAAATAATGAGAATATTGAGAAGAGGATAAACAATAAGGGGGATGTCTAATTTTTTGTCCTTGTGAACTTTGTAAATACATCCAAGTAATTTCTATCAGAGGCAGATGTCTTGTGTAGTCAATGACCCAGATTCAAAAGTGAAACTTGTGGTGCAGAATAAAGTTCTGCAAGTTTTCCTATGCTGGGCTTCCACATTCCCTGGATGGATAACAAAGCTCGATAGTGTAGGGCAAAACATCTACAACAACTTCATCCTAGGCCATCCACCTGCTGATGGGTAGCTGGAATATGGAAAAGCCATAGCCCTTCCAGATCTTCAGTTTTACTCTGTGTGCATTACTCTATATACTCTATATATCTTCATGCTTTCTCAACTTATTGACCATTAGTTAGTCATGGAAGTGTGAATTCCTCTCCCTTGCCCAAGTCTGTTTAAAGGCAGTAGGGGAAAGGCAGGCATTAGAGAAAGCTGACCTATCAAGCTCCAAGCATCTCAAAAGTCCACAGAACAGCTTTTTTTCCCCCCTTGACCATGTCATTGCTGATGCATCTGCAGCCATTTTATTCCTGCCACTCCTAATGCCCCTTTGCTACCATCACTGGCATAGTGATAATACACCAGGACATCAGTCAAAATGTGTACCTTAAGGAAAGCTGTATATGGATCTAAATACTTTTTTTGTCTACAAAGTTGTCAGACATTGCAGAAATTGAATGGAACAGAGGCCCAAACCCCACATCTGGCTGAGTCCCAAACCAAATCTGATTGCCCTGGTGCTCTGAACACAAAAAGAAAACCACTCTTTCAAAAAGTGTACTGTGTCAGCATAACAGATAGTTGCAGTGGTATAAAGCACCAGGGGTTCAATCTATGTATGCATCTTATTCCAATATATACATTTTTGTATGCAACTTTCTAATTGTTACAAAACATCATATCAGGAAAATACTAGAGTAGGGAGCTGGACTTTCCATACTGACAACACTAGTTTCCAACATGAGCACAAAGTCTCAATCGCACTCTCCAATCAACATGATTTGGGGAAAAGGTTCTTTTGCTAGTTTTCTCTTAGCAATTTAAAAGTTTTTAAAGGAACTTTATTGGATTTTGGTAGTAGTTCTGTATTTATTGCTGCTTATGTTTCTCCTTCTACCAGCCTTCCATTCTCCTTTCCTAATTGAATCCCATTGCTCCTTACTAAATATTTGTTGAATGTTTACATAAATGTGGGAGTTCATCTCACTATTATGTTAGTAGGGTGTTGATGTTTTTTGTTTTTGTTTTTTATAATTCCACTTCCTCATCCCTTCAATGTTTCCCTTCCCTCCCCCCATTTTTTTTCCTTAGGCTTCCTTTTGAGTTTGAGTTGGTACTGTTTTTCTGCATTTGATCTTAATTTAAAAAACAACAATTTGTATATGTTAGTTGTACAAGAATCGCATGTAACTCATAGACACTTCCATAATGCAGAAAAACTGTTGCCTCTTTAGTCAGCAGGAAAGACACATCCTTTCACTGGCAAAATCTCAGATAACAAATCAAGGGGGGAGCCATTCTACTATGGTTCAACCTATTCAATATGTTTTACGCTAATGTTGCATTCATGGCCACTGGTACTTTAATTATTAAAAAGTGCATATTTTAAAATTAAAGTTTTAGTTCCTTATTATTTCATCAAAGGGAAACATGAAAAAAATAGGTCAAACCACTTTTCTGAAAAGTATTGTTAGTGTAATATAGAACATCTTGCATTTATGCATTTTTAAAAACTAATATTTTGTTGGGGTTATATTAATCTGCCAGAAAAATGCCATATTCAAAGCAAATCTACCAGAGTAATAGCATTAACTCTTCCTCACATGAATAAGTGTTGTTCTTTCACATCTCTATAGGCCCATGGAGCATTGTTAGAACAAGCAAATATTATATGTTAATCTTTATTGGCCTGTGAATTTAATCATGCATAACCATGAAGAGTTGTGGGGTTTTCTTTTCAATTAAATA